AAGTGCGTCCAGACATGCCTGGTGTTACCCTCTCCCCACCCCCACCCGAGCATCAGTTCGGTGTCATTAGCCCCCCAGCACAGACCGAGATGGGGAGGGGCTTTCCCCAGGGATGGTCACAGAGGAAGCTGTTGGTGGCCAAGCCAGGAATGGAACCCAGGAGTCCGGGCTCAGTCTGTTGTTGGTATGAATGGGGTAGATGTTTACGGAGCCCATGTACCCCACTGTACGTGTCCCTCTCAGTGCCTGGTCCACAGACGCCTGCTGCAGCTCTCAGCTACGCGTTCTTAGTCCTTTAGCTCCAGCGGTGGAGGGCCCTCATGTTTACACCACAGACAGACACGTCCCTGCTTTGAGGCACTCAGTGTCTGAGTGGAGATGAGAGCAGGAGGAGGTGACACAGGGACGGTGGGACAGAAAAGAGAGAAAACTCTGGTTATTGCAGGGAGACCAAGTCCTGTCCCTTAGCCTAAAGGCCAGGCCCAACCTTCCTCCCTCTGGGGGTCCCTTCCTCTCCTCCAGTGGGATCTGGGCTATTTAGGAGAAAGTCAGAGGGGGCTGGATGGACTCATCTGCATCAGGGCCAGGAATGGGACAGAAGAGACACACACACAGACCTGCATGCTCAGGAGAGTTTATTCTTGGAGTGGGCTGCAGCCATTGAGGGGAAGGGAGGGAAGGGGCAGGAGCGTAACTTGAACAGAGACACTTGGGGGAAGAGAGTTTGCAGCTGGGGAAGTGAGATCTGGTCTCTCGGGGAGGGAGGGGACTGGCCCTTGAAGCAGCAAAAGCATCGGAAAGTCTGGGTCGTTGTCTGATCACCGCCAAGGAGCCCAGTTCTTTTGCATCCCAGGCGCTGAGCTCCCACTTCAGGTGCAGGCGAGTGACTCCCGTCGCTAGCGTCGATACTTGCAAACGTAGGCGTTTTGCTTGTTACAGGGAGCATCGTTCCATTCCTTAAAACCTAGAAGATAAAACAGAAATCACTGGGGCGGGGGAAGGGCGAGTGGGGCCATTCCTGCCCTTACAGTGACCCCCCCTCATTGCACCCTGCTGAGAGAAGATCCCAGCTCCTGCGCATGAGGCTGTGAGGATGAGGAGGCTGGAGACGAAGGCCTGAGGGATGCTGTGTCCATGCACGCATTGACAGACAGTCCCTGCCCCAGAGAGAGCACAGTCTAAATAGACAAGAGGTGGGAAGGGAAACTGAGGCCCAGAGTGGGGAAGTGACTTGCCCAAGGTCACCCAGCAGCTCAGTGGCAGGGCTGGGAACAGAAGCCAGGTCTCTGGAATCACAGTCCCGTAGCTAGCCACTAGGCCACACTGCCTCTTGATCTGCGACTGCTGTTACCTCCCATCCCCCCCAACACCCCTCAAAAGGCCACAAAGGAGAGCACAAGAGCCCTGGCTACATGCCAGAGGAGAGACAAGCTCAGGAAGAGGGAAGCCAGCTCACTCTGTGCTGAATGAGCCGGCCCTACCTCCATCTCCTGCACCTCTGGGTATGAGCATGGCCCAGAGGCAGCTCTGAGGATTCTGGTTGATGGATTGTTGTGAATTTCACCCTCTCTCTGTGATGCTCTATACCTTGGGAGAACAACAAGCACCCCCATGTTCATCCTTGTAAAATGATTGTGTGGTATCCAATGCAAAGCTTGTCATGTTGGGTGTCTTCGAAAAGCTCATGATGGACTGAGCATCGTTGCACAGTAATGTTATAGGCTATAATTTAATGTTTGTAGTTATGAGGCTAAATTGATGAACTCATATAAGCTTGCAGTGTCCAGCAGGGATAACTGGACACTGCAAGACAGAGGTTCCTAGGGTTGTGTCTGGGACTGGAGATATTGGCTAGTGTCATTTGGTTGCACAATCCAAGGAACAGCTTACGTGCCAGAGGCTGTGTGTGAACAGCCCAGGAGTGGGGGTTCTCACAGCAGAGCAGGGTCAGGCTGGCTCCCAGAGTCAAGGATTGGAGTGACCTAGCAGATCACCAGTCCGGATAACACCAGAGGGGAACGTCACGCTCTCCCATTCGCAGAGCCACACAGCCCTGGGAGCATTATCCAGAAACCTTTTCCACATTTGTTTTGCAAATTTTTCACTTCTACTGTTTGCTGAGTGTGTGATTGGTTATGCAGGTCACATGGCATTGCTCTCGCTCCATAATTGGATGCGCGACTCTTTCAGTAGCAGATAATGGAAAAGCAAATCCTGCCCAGGGTGAGTTTGAGGGAAGGAGCATTCGTGCCAACGCTGCTGAACACTCAAACTCCATCTGCGGCTGGGCGAGTCATGTGACTAGCAGGGCCCATGAACAATGAGTCACTCATGAATTGGCGAATGAGCTTTCCCTTTCAGCCAGTCTTCGTCCTACCAGCCCTGGCCTCCCCAGCAGAGGGGACAGGCGGGGTGTGGCTGAAGCCACTGTGCTCTGGCCATCCAGGTTGTTACTGCCCTGAGGCTGCTCTAAATTGCCCTGGGGCCCAAATCGCCCCCTGGCTGCCTCCAGAATCAGTTTGGCAAAAGCCACCAATGCACCAACCGAAGAACACATACCCCACCTAGATATCAACTACTGGGCAATAGCTCTGGGGCCAAATGTACTGTATGGCCTGCCTCTGACAGGAGCTGAGCCTCAAACTGGGACACATGGAGGAGGAGTTACCAGGTGAGATCAGGGGATTATCTCTGGAGAGCGGCAGTGTGAGCTGAGGGAGAGAGGCAGGATGCCTGGACAGGAGGTCATGTCCGCAGACAGAGGTGGAGAGTGTGGCCAGGGTCCCATCTTGGCTCCTTTGCTGGTGAATGTGCGTTTGAGCATCTGCTTACCTGTTTGTCTCAACAGCTCACCACAGTACTCCTTGCCACCCTGGTTGTTTGGTTCCCCAAGTTTCCAATTACTGTAGCAAAAGCGGGAGCGATCTGTCCACCTCCAGCGTTTGTTCTGCAGAGACAGGGGAGAAAGGTCGTGGGGTCCCGGGGAGAAGAGACCTTGGTGATAAGGCACCATAGAAACACCTAAATCCAAAACAGAAGTGCCCTCCACAAGCAGAGGGAGAAAGTTGGGGAAGGGCCGTGGGGCAGTGGGTGGGGAGAGGCCAGCTCAGGGGGAAGGGCTCTGGAGACGCTGATCTAATAGTAACACTTAGCACATGAACTTCACCTTCTACTTCAAAGCTCTTTGCCTGAATTAATGAATCTCCTTGCCATGAAGCAGTTGCTCTGGAGTATGTTTTAGTCCCTAATGGCACGGCCTGCCGTGTGTCACTAGTGGTTTAATGTGGGTGAGCTCATCCTGTATAAGCAAAATGAAAGTGCGTCTGTGATGGAGACGCTGGATGTATCAGTGAATGGGACAAGGGGCCTTTTCCCTCTAGCGGGCTCAGCACCAGTCTGACCCCAAGTTAGCAGGACTGGCTACCTCAGTAGAATCAGAGAAGGGGAAAATGGAGCCTTTCACCTCTAGGGGTGCTGGCTCTGGCCTGGCCCCAGCTCATGGGGGGGACTAGCTGGCTTCGGGGCTCAGAGTGCTAGTTCCAATCCATTGCCAGGCCAGGGGAAGCTGGATGGCTGAGGATACTACAGAATGGGATACAGAGTCTCTCACTCCTCCCGCACTGGGTCCAGTCCAGCCTGGGGTCTGGGGCAGGGGATCCAGGGCCTGAGTCTGTGTGTGCTGTTTGGGGAGCCTTCTGAGCCCAGCACCTCCCTGAACAAAGAGGATAGAAAGGAAACTAATGGCGACAAAGCTTCAGATGGCGCGTGACAAGTTTACGAAGGGGGTGGTGTAATGGCATTGCCGGCGATAGCCTGGGCTGGACTCAGTGACCCCGGATGTTCTTTCCAGGCCTATGTTAATAATGGCTCCTTCCCACGCTGGGGCCTCCTTCCCAGTCTGTGACTGGTCCTGCTTTGTCTCCCTGCCCTAAGGAGCTGGGGGGTCTCCTACAGAAAACCAGGTGAGAACGGGTTCCCCTAGCTGAGGGAGTGACCAGCAGTGTCAGGGGCAGTGCAGAGGTCAAGGGGGACAGAGACTCAAGTCTTGGGCAGGAAAGTGTTACTAGAAAACTTGGAGAGGGTGGAGTGGAAATGGGATGTGGGGTGTACGGGGAGGGCCTGGCACGTTGCATGAGCTGGGACGGGGGAAAGGAAATGGGGCAGTAGTTGGAGCGGCAGATGCAGGTCCAAGTTCAGTCTGATGACCAAGGAGACCCAGGCCTGGTTGTATTTAGAAGGGAAAAGCCAAAGGGGAGTCGGAGCTTAGGGTAGGATGGAGACGGAAAGGGTGCGGGAGGGTGGAGTGCAGATGGGAGACCCTGGTGCCCAGGACAGGGAGAAGGGGTTTAGGAGAGGGGGAGGGAGATCTTGGCAGCCCCTATGAAGGGCTCATGGGAAATGGTCTCTGCACAGCCCCTGGGAAACAGACTCATGGCGGGGGGGAGCAACTGCCAGGGGCAAAGCAGGCTCCGGGAACTCACATGCTCAGGGTTGTGGAGTCCGATCCACACAGCATCCTTGGAGCCTTTGTTGATGATGTATCCGGCCATCATCTTCCCTTCTGGCTCACAGAGAATGGAGGCGAGATGGGCCCCATTGTGGAGATACTGACACTGCACCTGCAGCAGGGACATCAGCAGAGTCTGTTACTCCCCCTGCATGAGGACGCTGTTTGGCACTGGTGTGGGGTCCTGCCCCGCCAGGCTGCAGCAGGAGAAGGGACGGCTGTGAGGGGAGAGAGCCCCCTCTCTGTGCCTCTTCCCAAGCCCGAGTGCCTGGCACCAGCCACGTCACCTCTGCAGGGACATCCAGGGGCCAATGGTGATGTCACCAAACCCCTTCAGTCCCTGCCCCTGCCAACTAACCCGCCTCACCCCACAGATCCCTGAGAAGAACCTCATACCTCAGCCTCTGACCAGGTCATCCTTTGGGGGAAGAACTTGTAGCAATAGCGTCGGAAGGGCTGCCAGCCACTGCGACAGTACCTGGCCTCTACTCCTGATCCGAGAGAGGGGATGGGATGGGGAGAGAGGGCATTGCGGGGAGAGGCTGTTTTGGAGAAGAGAATGGAAGCAGAGATGTCAGTTGTTGTCTTTCCAGCTTCTCCAGATCTCAAAAATCCTGTGAACTTTTGACTTCTCTCAGAATGGCCACTATCTCCTATTACATTCAATGGGGCTGAAGCCACTCAGTTAAAACAGCTGTCACTCCCTCGCCCCCTTTGTCTGTGGCAGCGAGGCTGTCCTAGTAACAATTAGCGCTGTCTCCCTTCCCAAGAGGACAGGAGCTGGGCTGCCCTCAGGGAAGATGGTCACCTCCTATCTTCTGTGCAGGGGCACTGGGGAACCTGAAGGGGAGGGGTCGCAAGAGGGATAAATCAGAGTACACAAGGGACTATGGGTTGAGGTGGGGCCGCACTGGGTGTCATGGGGACACTGGTGAGGCTGGGAGCAGAGGGGAGGTTGGGGACACTGGACTATAGTAGAGGATGAAGGAACCACTCACCGATTTGCCAACCTAATGAGGAGGGCTTGAAACTAGATCTAAAAGGGGCAGGTGATAAAATCCCACAGGGGATCTTAAAAGAAATGTTGGGGGAGTGGGAACAGAAAATAACTATAGGATCGTAGAAGCAACAAGAGGGGTAACTGTGTGGGAACCTGCTCTACATCTCAGATGTCTATACACAAATGCAAGGAGGGAATAAACAGAAGAACAGGAAGTATTAGTATCTAAGCTAAATTATGACTTAATTGGCATCACAGAGACTTGATGGGATAAATCTCATGATTGGAATATTGGTAGAGAGAGGTACAGCTCGTTCAGGAAGGGCAGGCAGAGAACAAAGGGAGGAGGTGTTGTGTTATACACCAATAATATATCCACTTGTTCTGAGGTCCAGAAGGTGAGACGCAGGCCAGTTGAAAGTCTCTGAGTAAAGATAAAAGGGGAAAAACAGAGGTGATGTCATGGTAGGGGTCTACTATAGACCACCAAGTCCGGGGGAGGTCGATGAGGCATTTATAGGGCTAATAACAGAAATATCCAACAGACAAGACCTGGTAATAATGGGGGGACTTCAGTGTCCCCGATATCTGTTGGAAAAGTAATATGGCAAAACATCAAATTTTCAAAACATTCTTAGAATGTATTGGGGAGAACTTCTTATTTCCAAGGTGCAAAAAGTAACAAGGGGAACAGCCATGCTAGACTTAATTCTTACTCACAGGAAGGAATTGGTTGCGAAGCTGAATTTTGAAGACAATTGGATGAAAGTGATCATGAAATGACAGATTTCATGATTCTAAGGAAGGGAAGGAGTGAGAGCAGGAGAATAAACAAAGCGGACTTCAAAAAGCTGATGTGGCAGTGTATGCACACCCTGTCTCCTGTTGTGGGGAGAGTGGGTGTGCGGACACTACAGTTACTGTGTACCTGTCTTGGGCCTCAGGCTCACCATGCTGAGGTCCAAGGGCCTGAGGCAATACAGCAGCCCTTGTGTTCAGGGCAGCATGGCCTAGCATCCAGAATCAATACAGCAGCCTTCAGATACAGGGCAGTGTGGCCTAGTGGCCAACACCCCCAGGAGCTGCCACCAGGGGCAGTGGTGGTCCAGGTAGGGGGGCCCAGGCCCACCCTACTCCACCAGGCCCTGACCCAGGGCCCTAACAGTGATGAAGTGGTCTGCCACTGGGTCAGCAGAGAATCCATTGAAAGACACTGACCTCACACTGGTGGGAGATACCACTTGTTCACCCTTCCTGGTCACTTCCTACCGTGCTTCCTGAAGTTGTAGTCCATGGAGCACTGGGTCTTTGGGCTCCTCAATGCAGGTAATTCCCTGGGGCTCCATTGGCCACAGATCTCCAGTCCAGATCTCTGGCTCCCGCAGGCAAGTGTTGTGATGACTCCTCAGCTGTAGTCTCCATCAAAGCTCCTTCCTCTCCAGCAGTCCCGTCCCCCCCCTCCGGACTGAGCCGGGCTGCTCCCTTTTATACTAGCAATCCAGCATAGCACTTGGAGCATGCCCAGTACAGTCTGAGGGATGGAATTTCCTCCACCCATAGTGTGGGGTTAACCCCTTCCAGCCCATTGCAGGGTATGCACACCCCGTCACAGCTGACTTTAACAAACTCAGAGAACTTATAGGCAAAGTCCCATCAGAAGTAAATCTGAGGGGAAAAGGAGTTCAGAAAAGCTGGCAGTTTCACCAAGAGACAATATTAAAGATACAACAGCACATTATCCTGATGCAAAGGAAAGATGAGAACAATAAGAGTCAGAGGCCAGTATGACTCCATGAAAACCTCTTCAATTACCTGAAAATCAACAAGGAATCCTACAAAAAGTGGAAATATGGACAAATTGTGAAGGAGGAGTACAAAAGAATAGCACAAGCTTGTAGGAACAAAATCAGAAAAGCTAAGGCACAAAATGTTTACATTGAGCAAGGGACATAAAAGGCAATGAGAGGTTCTATAAATACATTAGGAGCAAGAGAAACATGCAGGAAAGTGTAGGTCCACTACTTAGCTGGGAAGGAGAGCTACTAAAAGACGGAATCAAGAAGGCTGAGGTGTTTGATGCCTATTTTGCTTCAATATTGACAAAAAAAAGTCAATTGTAACCTAGGGTGACCAGACAGCAAGTGTGAAAAATTGGGATGGGGTGGGGTTAATAGGAGACTATATAAGAAAAAGACCCCAAAATCGGGACTGTCCCTATAAAATCAGGACATCTGGTCACCCTGATTGTGACCAGATACTTAACACAATCAATATTATCAACAATGGGGAAGGAATGCAAGCCAAAATAGGGAAAGAACCAGTTAAAGAATGTTTAGATAATTTATGATTCACATAGGCAGAGCTTAATGAAATTCATTGTAGGATACTTAAGGAACTAGCTAAAGCAATCTTGGAACCATTAGCAATTATCTTTGAGAAGTCCTGGAGGATGGGTGAGGTCCCAGAGGACTGGAGAAGGGAAAGCAATGTAACTATCTTTAAAAAGGGAACAATGAAGATCTGGGAAATTATAGACCAGTAACCTACCTTTGATACCTGGAATGATACTGGAACAAATTATTTAAAAAAATCAATTTGTAAGTATCTAGTGGATACTTGGGTTATAAGTAATCACCAATATGGAATTGTCAAGATCAAATTGACATGGGGGGGAGGAATAGCTCAGTGGTTTGCGCATTGGCCTGCTAAATCCAGGGTTATGAGTTCAATCCTTAAGGGGACCATTTAGGGAACTGGGTAAAAAACTGTTTGGGGATTGGCCCTGCTTTGAGTAGGGGGTTGGACTAGACAACCTCCTGAGCTCCTTTTCAACCCTGATATTCTATCCCTTGTCATGCCAAGTCAACCTAATTTCATTCTTTAACAGGGTTACTGGCTCCATGAATGGTAGGACACTGTTAACTTCATATATCTTGATTTTAGTAATGCTTTTGACACAGTCCCACATGATTCTTTCATAAGCAAACTATGGAAATGTGATCCATGTGAAATTTCTAGGTGGGTGGGTGCACCGCTGGTACTCAAAAAGTAGTTATCAATGCTTTGCTGTCAAACAAGGTAACATATCTGGGGTGTCCCTCGGGATCTGCCCTGGGTTTGGTACTATTCAACATTTTCATTAATGACTTGGATAATGGAGGGGAGAGTATGCTTATAAGTTTTGTGGATGACACCAAGCTGGGAGGGGTTGCAAGCACTTTGGAGGACAGGATTAGAATTCAAATAGTCATAACAAATTGGAGATTTGGTCTGAAATCAACAAGATGAAATTCAATAAAGACAAGTGTAAAGGAAGGAAAAATCAAATGCACCAGTACAGAATGGGGACTAACTAGGTAGGTGGTAGCACTGCTGAAAAGGATCTGGAGGTTCTAGTGGATCACAAATTGAATATAAGTGAACAATGTGATTCAGTTGAGAAGGCTGATATCATCCTGGGGCGTTGTGACGGCGAATACAAACCCCACACTGGGCAACCAGGAGTTAAGGACATTCCACACCTGTAGGAAATGCCCCAACTGGAGGAGGAGTTAAAGGGCAAGGGAGCAGCTCATTTGGTGACGGAGCAAGGAAGAGAGCAGACCTGCGATCTGCAGCTCCAGCAGAGGAGAGCTGAGACGAGGAAAAGGCAGAATCTCTCCCCACAACAACTGCTCAAAGGTCCCTCACTGAGGGAAGGGAGGACCTGTTACAGAGACAGCCTGGGAGGGGAGTATCCCTCTCTCCCATGGACTCTGAGTTTTGCTAATTCCCCTGCACTTGTTTAGACGGCCCTAGAAGGGGAAGACCCTAGGGCTGATCTGGCCCACGAGGGGGCCAAACCAAAGGAGGAGGCCGTTGCCAACCCAAGAGAGGAGGAGAGCTACCCCCTGCACGCAGCTGCCAGAAGGTCCCTACCTTGGGACAATAGCGGGGGTGGGGGTGGTAGGAAGTGGCCCTGGGGGGGCAGCCTTAAGCAGCTGTGGCTGTGAGACCACTCAAAGGGTCCTGGGTCAGAGCCTGGTGGAGGGGGAGGGCCTGGGATCCCCTGCCAACAAACCCCCTGCAAGTCACGGGCCTAAGCCCTGACCACTAGGGGCCGCTCCCTACCGACCAACCCCCGAGCGAGGACTGTCACAGGTGTGTTAACAGGAGTGCGGTGTGTAAGACACAGGAGGACAATGTCCTGCTCTGCTTGGCACTGGGGAGGCCTCAGCTGGAGTTGTGTGTCCAGGCCTGGTGCCGCACTTTCAGAAAGACATGGATAAGATGGAGAGAGTCCAGAGGAGAGCAACAGAAATGATCAAAGGTTTAGAGAATCTGAGCTATGGGGAAAGGTTAAAAAACTACGCATGTTTAGCCTTGAGAAAAGAGACTGAGGGGGGCCTGAGAACAGTCTTCACGTATGTTATGGGCT